GGCATACGAKATCACCCAACAGCCCAATGCGCTGGCAGTACTGTACAGCCAAGTTCAACGAACGATTTTAAGATCATGCTACCTGTTCAGGGATTCCATTCTCACCAGGGTCCATCTGCGAGCCAAAGAGTGATTCTAGTAGGTGGATTGCACCAGAGGTGAAGCAATACGCTGCGCTACAATGCCAGTCACAGGCAATCCGCTACCATCAACGAATACCCACAAGGGGGATACCTCCAATGGACACTCCCCGTCGRTGTCGCCGGCGGTCCTATCCAACGGTATGAGCAGCCATATACTGAGCAAACTGGATCGGATTCCGGGTTTGCATGAACACGCTACCGGGTCCTGTCAATCACGTCAGCTGCGATCCGATGCCTCATATCAGCTGCAATACCTGTGAATTTGCAAACCAAGCCTTCGCCTGCGCTCAAGTTGCTGAGGATGCCACCGCTTGCAACGCGCTCCAGAACATAGTCGCAATTCCAGGCCACAAGATGGCCATTGTCAATGATGTACTTTTCACCCTCGCGGAGCTAACTTCAATGTCAGGGTTGATTCCTCAAGGCTCCAACACGGACTTACGTCTTTTCTCATGATAGCACCCATACTCTGGATCCAGCACATTCCTATGCCGCCAATCTTGTATACGAAGAAGCCTTCCCCAGAGAAAATTGCTTTGCTCAAATTCTGGGAGATATATGTCTTCGTCACTCCTTGCGTGGAAGCCAGAAAAGCATCCTTGCCCACAGACCAGTGCTCGTTGCCAGACAGTCGGATAGTAGTAATATCTCCCAAAGCAAAGGGCGCCAAGAGTAGCTCTCCTGGTCCAGTGAACGTACTGTGTGACATTTCGCCTCTAGCCAGCAGCTTCTTCATGCTGAATTTGAAGTTTCCCTTGACTGTCATGGTGGGAGACATGGCAATCATAGCTCCTGGCTTCACTTCCAACGGACAACCCATTGCCAATTGCACAGTCACAATCGTGTTGGTATCACGGTGGCTGATTCGGTATGAGCCTCCGTTGAAAGTGCCCACGTCGTCGGCAGTTGCTTGCGCTCCGACAAAATGGTCGGGAGCAGGTGCGCCGCCGGGCATCGACGATTCTCTATTAATCGATTGTCGCATGCTGGGAGTCTCTGGCTCTTTCTGCTTTTCTGGTGGATATGAGCCATCGTACCCATAAGACGGAGGTCCCGAGCGGAATGGAAGGCTTTTGTCCTCTGGAGGCGGCGGAGGAGTTGGGGTCACTGCGGTTCTTGTAGGCTCGTCATGGTAGGAGGAAGAGAGCGGGGAGACTGCTGGTGGTGGTGCAAAGGTCGGTGGCAGAGCAAAATGTTGTTGCGGTTGCTGTGGAGGCGGAGGATAGCTCTGGGGGGAACTTGATGGAGGTGGCGCGAAATGTTGCTGTTCTGCTGTTCATTTAGTGTCGATTCGCTCTGATACACCCCACACGGCGTACCTTGAGGTCCTTGACTAGGAGGTGGAGCTACTCAAAGTCAGCAATTGGTCTACGGAATCTCAGATGGCTACACATACGTGGAAAGTATTGCCCTTGCTCAGAAGCCATGCTGCCGTATTCTCTTGATCTTTTGAAGCTTCGCACGCAATCCAAAACCGTGTGTGCTGCTCCTCACTTCGTGTGATGATCGATCGGTGAGGTAGATCAGGTATTCCTCGCTAGAAACCCAGATATATATTGTTGCAGCTGTGAAAAACCTGCTAGAGGGCTGGCGAACTGCAGAAGAAAGATGTGGGATAGGCTGAGAGGATGAAAGAGAAGAACAGAGAGAGAAATGAGCGAATACCACGAACATCAAGCTCTTGAGCCGCACTTTCCATGCCTGCGTGTTGCAGCTCCTAGCAGCTACGATTGGCTATCTCGCAGGCGCTTAGAAGCGTTCCACTCAAAAGGCGCTTACAGACGCGCTACCTWCATACATTCGATGCACGTGATGAGCTGACCGAGTCTCATCTTCAAAGCCGTGCTCGTGTAAGAAGGTCGATACAATTCAAAGGGCAGACGGGAGTGATGTGGTGACGCGGGGACGAGTTGGTCGAGAGTTCGGGATTCAGCTCAACTCCGTCTCGGCAGACGCACAGACGGAAAGCTAGTTCTATCTCACCAGCCCAGTCCATCAACTCGTCGACAGCGGCGTGATGCAAGAACATAGGTTTTTATATATATGAGTCGTCTTCCGCTTTGCGTGGCTGATGAAAGTACACTTTCATGATGTGCCAGCTCAGCCTCTTTCTGATCCAAGCCGACGAATTAACGTCTGCGAAACCATGCACTGCCCGCATTTCTGACCACCGGCAATCCTTCGTTGCCCAATTCGGACACCGCATGCACCGCATGCCGTATGGGTGAGTTGTGACTCCGCTGCTGGACACTTCTTCTCCGATTTTCAATGCTCGGACTTCTCTTGAGCTTTCCACTGTCTCGTGCACCTCAGGCGTGAACATTGTCTCATCCCTCTTCTACGCTGTCACGCCAGGCTGACAAGCAGCGCGTGCCAAAGCCAGTCACGTTGCGACTTCATCTCACTGCCTCACAATTCATTCACTCAAGCAAATTTCCCAGGGTACACCCACCACGAGGGCATCAATGGCGGTCCCTCAAATGAGCCCTCCTGTTTATATCATTTACCGTGATGTGCCTCCCGGCGAGCCATACGATGCCACTTCTTCCCTGGCCTTCTTCCCTCCAAAGGGTTCTGACGAGCTATTCGATGCCCTTCGTTCGGCTTTCCCCCACTTGAAGACCCACTCGGAGCGGACGCGAGATGCGATCATCCAGTTCCTGCTCGAGGAAAGGCAAGGAGAGCAGTTCGACCTTTTGCCCGCTACCACTATGGAGAGCTCGCAGCTCACCTGGCCATCTGAGTCGTCTGGTTCTGCGTCGATGTTCAGCAGCCCGGACATGCCCGGCTTTGCTACACCAAATTCCTCCAGCACCTCTCCCCAAACCGAGGGGGCGTCTATGGCAGCATCTAGCCAGCCCAGCCCACCCTCTCTCGACCAAATGACGGGAGTCTTCAGTCTATCTAGCAACCCTCAGCCAAAGCAGAGGGTGAGGCGGAAAATGACCGAGGCGGAGAAGGTCGAGTACCGTAAACGAAGAATTGTCAAAGCTTGCGAAAAGTGCGCAAAGAGGAAGCGCAAATGCCCGCACAATCAAGCCGAGATGAAAACGATCCCGACGCCCTCCACCAAGTCAATCTCCCCGCCGGCGGCTGTGTCCGTTGAGCCGTCCATGCGGCAGTCAGATGCACCATTCCTACACGCACTGGATGAGAGCTTCGATCCAACTACTCTTGGAAGCTTCGGGGACTTCAACATGTTTGATGATCCTGTGCTACCAGAAGTTAGTGTTGATGATTTCTTCCACTTCGAACATTTTGAGGATACAAGCCCACTATTCAACAATGCGAACCACGATCCATTCAACCACTTCACACAACATAAGGCCCTCGCGCACTTCTCCCGAAACGATGGTATCGAAGGTTCTTCGCGATCGACACAATCGGATCACAGAGCTGAGAGTCCTTCGGCGACGACACACCAAGTTGGACCATCATCACCACTGGTAGATCTGTCATTCAATAGGACGGACCCGCGAGCCCAAACGGAGACTCATCCCTCACAGCGTGCTGTGAGTGACCCTCATACGGGCGGTTTCCTCTCCGAAACAAGAGAATTGAACAATACCATCGAGAGACAGTCTAGTCGCTTGAAAGACCATCGTCGCGCGGAGTCATTGGATGTGCGGCATCATTTGACACATGCAACAAGCAGTAACCGAGATGATACACTGCTAGACGAACCTTCGCATCCTAACGACATGTCTGAACGTCGTACTCGCCCGCTGAGGTYGTTCAGCCATCAGGTGATAGCGTCGAGCCATCAACAGAGTGCATTGACATCTACCTCCGTGTCAACGCAGAGCGGGTCCTCCAATACTCACCCCGCAACTCTACAAGGAAGGCCACAGCCACTAAGGCTGTCACGAAACTCGGATACCAACGAAGGTGCTAGAAATCAACGCACGTTGGGTGAAGGCTTACGTCGCGAAGACGATATCGGGACCGAGCTGTTTAGGCTTCGGAGACGCATTCCCGAAATGGGACAACAGACGCAACAGACGTCGCGTGGAGCCATCCTGCAAACCAATTCTGACCAGAACCTCAGAGGACAACAATCCCCTGAGCAGCTCTCTGCTCAAGCAAATGGCGGTGGCGTCACCAAGACATTGTACTCTAACAATGATGCTGGAGCGGCCCATCGTCGTCCCACCAATGGTGCTATGGCTGGATCGCAAATCGCAATCCCCAGCCCGCGTATTCAGATCACAGCAGGCGATCATCAAGAGCGTCTGTCAGATCATGTGCGCTACAAGGACCACCATGGCAGACCGCAGCAAGGAGCCAGCTTCCCTCAGTTTGCTTTTGCACTTGGAGCAATCGCGCTCCTCGCCATGTTCTCTCCGAGCATTTCTGCTTTGGGTCTGGCGCTCCTGCTCACTCTGCACTCTTCGAGTCCAGCAGACAGTTCAGCAGGAATTGTCCAGTGCACGACGAAGAACAGTCCCTGGCTTTCGACGGAACAGAACAAGTTCGCAGACATTGGATTCCGAGTTTTGAAGGAGCGGCAACATCTCCGTGGAAGCAGCTCTCAATCCGGACAAGGCTTGTTTGAAGATGGACCCGGTGCATGGCTGATGGGACTGATGTATCCTTTCAGATTGGCGCCCGTCTCGTTTGCTTTTGTCTAAAGGAGACGGAATTCATGCTGGGTGTTAGGCGTAATTAGCGAGTGTGTTGGATAGGCAAAAAGCACTTCATTTCTACTGTCACATACTCCGTTCCCTGCCTTTGACTTGATTCCATGTGACTGTTGTGAAGGAAGCTCACATTAGCCGAGTCACGCCCCTTATCAGAACTGTCTTCATGCAGCTCTCCACTGTGAAAGGTCCTTATCGTCATGCGAACCAGGAGGATCCTAGAGGGTTGAGGAGCATCGTCCTCGAGGAGATCGGTTCGCCTGATGAATCTGAAACAACGTGGCCAAGACTTTACAGCAGTTCATACAAAGTTAATACAAATTGGTATTTCGCTAAACCGAGCAAATGCCCCAAGGACAGTAAGAGACAATCAACAAATGGAACTGGTGTCATGCGCAAGCCATCTGTACTTTTTCCCTCAACTCAGCCAGTGAAACGTTACCACTCTTCGTGATGGTAATGGCCTTGACTTCTCCGCTTTGCACCACCTTGATAAAGGCGGGCACGATTTCCCTGCTCATCAACTCCAAGCATCTCTCCACTTCCTCTCTGCTAATGGGATTCCGCAGGCTCTGTTGCAGCTGCTGCGTAACAACCTGCATGCTGAAACTGCACCTTTCCTTTGAAGATGCAAGCAGGGACAGAATCCTGGCAATTTCCTCAATCCTGTGAAGAGCAGACTTTCGCTCCAGCTGCGACTTGGTAGGCCCTGCAGGGAGCGTGGATGCTATKCTCTGCTTTGCCAAGATACGGTCGAGCAGTGCGGTCCCGCGGTTCTGAGTCGCTTGAGCAGATCTTTGCGAGAGCACTTCATCTTGTGTCGGCTTCGCAATCTCTGATTTCGCAGCTGCTACTTGGCTGGCCTTGAGATCAGCGAGACGTTGTTCTCCGCGAGCAAACAGAGGTGCTGCTTTCGCAGCGGATGCGTTCTTGTTGATTGTCATCAATGGCAGGTGGCTCAAGAATGCGGCGGAATTCCTGTTCTCCTTTGCTGTGCAGGCCTCCCAGCTCTGCCAGGACTGTCGAAGAGCGTCTCCAAATCTGGCGTTCAGCTTTGCTTCGTCCACGAAGCCCGGGGACTGCAAGAGCGCACGACCGCGCGGCTCAGGTCTTGTCAGACGAACACCTGCTCGCCCATAGTGCTCCAGACTGAAGCTTTGATCCAATCTTGACGCAATCGTCAGAATGCGCTGGAGATCCTCAAGTTTGACACTTCGTTTCTTGTAGTGCCTCGTAATCATGTCGAGCAGAGTGCTTACTTCAACGGGTGATGAAGTTCCGTTGTGTGAGTAGTGCATAGAAAGTGCGGCCAGGAATGATGAATAAAGATGACGGAGGTCTGCAAGATCGGCGAGAATGCCGAGGTCGGCTCCTTCGTCCTTGCTCGGGCTTTCCGGAGGCGTGTTGTACGCGCCTAGTGGTCCTCCAAGCGCAATTGGGATTGGACGCGCGTTTGTGGCAATGTCCAGACGATCGAAGAGCGCAGCAGCGCCTCGCGTCGGGGTTTCTGCCGGCGATGGGAGCATGTTCTTCACGCGCTTGTTGCGAGGAGTGGATAGAATAGCAGGCTGTACTGTAACTCCTGCGTCCTTGGAGACTTCCTTGCGAGGGCACACTGCAATCTCTTCATCGTCACTGTAGTTCGCGCTTCGCTTTCTCTTATTCTCTGCCTGCGACGCGACAAGGGCAATAGGTGGAGGCGTGGATTCGCGACCATGAACCGTCTTTCTCTTCTTGCACTCGATGTTCTGTTTGTTTGGCTTTCCAACGCCACCGAATGTGTTGATGGTCTTTTGTGTCTTGGCTGCACGCGTCTGTTTCGTGGTAGCAGTAGKCTCTTCAGCGACGGCTTTGCGTTTACGGCTGACGGGCATGTTTTGGGGTATTATGGGTGTCGATTTATGTATGTCGCGGGTTATGATACGTGGAATTGGACGTTCCAGAGAGATAAGCGCTGGACGATGAGATGTATGGTGTTGATGGTATGCGAAGATTGGATGGATGAAGTGAAGTGTATGGAAGAGGTCTAGCAAATTGAGATGGCTGGCCAACGCGAACGCGAAAAACGACGCGACGCGACTGCCGATCACTTTGAGAATTTAGCTCCAATTCTAGCATGCCATCACTTCCTGGCTATAGTAAGAGACTTGGTGAGAACAGCTGGAAACGGTACAATAGGAGATCGGCAGCCGTTTGGTGTCTACACATATATTGTGGTGGTATCAAGGTTGTCCAAATGTAGACATCACTTTCCGATAAGAGCTGAGCAAGGCCATGTCTCCGTGGATGAGAGATTCATGAGCAAGCTGGAGTTCTCTTTGTAGCCATGGCGCCTTGTCACGTGGTGGAAACATCCCGTCTTCGATGTTCACTTATGATACAAAGCGTGCTGCTGTCTGGAGGAAACACGGCCTTCAAGGATGGTATTGGCGCATCGTTATGGCTGTGAAAGCTCAAATTCAGCGAATATCAGCTCAGTGATCCCTCCCTATCACTCAACATATCCACCGGCACTACTTCAACCCGATCCCTCTCTTTCTGGACCTCCAGCATCTTCCCTCGCATACCTGGCAGCCTGGTCTGTGAAGCAGCCGCCGCTGCAGGTATTGCAAAAGTAGCTTGCTTCCCGCTCCCACTGTTGAAGACACTTTTCTTAGGCCGTGGTCGGGTGCGAACACAAGCGTCCAATCTCACCACAACCCCCTCGATCAAGCTCCTTGCCTGAGTGCGGCTGAGGTGACTGGTTCCGGAGTCTTTGACACGCGACATCATACTCTGAAGCTGCTCCACCACGCGGTCGATTTGCTGATTGTGACAACGTTCTGCGTCCGAGAGGGGCCTTGGCTTGAAGAATGTCAGGCCTGTGGAAGGTTGCACTGACGCAGGTGGCGGCGCAATGCTGCTATACTCCACGAAGCCATGTGCGACAGCAATGTCCGCAACTGCGATCATGGCCATCAAGTAATCATAATCCATGTCATCCGTGATTTGAAGTTCAGGCTGTCTCTGCAGTGTCTGCACTATCGACGCCTGCCAGTCCTGACCATCTGCCAGCCTTCGATCAGTGGCATTGGAAAAGCATTCGAGTGCAAGCCTTCGGCGAATGGTGTACGCTCGCAGTGTGATGCATGGCAGGCTAGCGATAGCGCGGCATCTAACCAGAGGCGGAAGTTCACTGGGCAGAAAGAGAGTGCCGAGTACTTCAGCCACGAGCGATCGAAAAGACGATTCCGATAGCTCGTCCAACATGTCTTGGATACAATTGGAAACGACTCGCGTAAGGTCAACATCCGCTCTGACGAGTGCATCAATGTTGAGCAAAGCCAGGTCMAAAAATGCCGCACACGTCGTGGTAGGTGTGCTATCTGAGACAATACCATCAGAGGCAGGAGCACAAAACTGCAGTGTGCGGAGGACGTATTGCAATCCCTTTGGCAGAGTCTTCTTGGTGTTATCCCTGCTTTCATTTTCGAATAAAGATCGCGTGTGGTAACGTGAGGTCAGGGATGCTATGGAGTCAGACATTGAAGTGCCATGGTGGTGTTTGCTAGACACTCGCAGAATTTCAACGTATGCCTCGCATAACGTCTCACTGGCCTCATGCATGAGCTGTGATGCGAACCACATCGTTATGTTCATCGGTAAAGGATACCGCTCGGCCAGCTCGGCAGCCAACCCAGAAACGCAGGCTTCACCTCGCGAATGATCGTCGCGGTAGATGCGGCTCCAGGTTTCGTCTGGCAGGGAATCCACAGGAAAAGGCGTATCGGGCCACTTCGGTTCGTCGTCCAAGAAGAAATGATATTCGTTCGCAGCTTTCAAAGCTTCCGTTCGATCCAACGCAATTATCATTTCCTCACGTTGATCGTCATCAACTGCCATTTCTAGGAAGGCTTCACGATCGAATGCTAAGTCGTTCTGATCTTCTGCTAGTGCGTCCCGTTGCTTTGATTCTTCGACTTCCGCTTCCATTGCTCTGATTCTTTCTTGTGCCAATCTCCTCTCTTCATTCTTGGCGACTAGCTTCGCTAGACTGCTGTTCTTGAACGCGGTCCGAGGGGGTGACGGTGGAGGGGGCTTTGAGAAGCGTGTCTGGGCTCGTTGATCGGGAGGCCTCACATCTTTTCGAGCAATGGCAGCAGGAGCCCCCGGTACACTCCTCCCTATTTCTACAGGCGGCGTGAGGTTGGCCTTTTTCGGCAGAAATGCGCTCACATCGGCAAGCTCATCATCGCTGCTGTCGTCAGAATCGGAGTTAGTGACGGCTTTCAGCCCACCTCTGACCACCCGTCTGCTTGATGTTGTGGAGCTGATCGGTATTGAAGAGCTAAGCGGCGCGGACGAAAGTGTCGATGTCGAAGCGAAGGATGTCGCCGCTGAACATCCCTCTGCTGAGCGAGGGAATTGCGGTGGCGGTATGGGAGGTGCTGCCATTTCTTCTGTTGATAGTGGCTTCGGTTGAGACGATAGGCTGTCCATACTACCCACCGCTCGCCGCGAACGTCGTGTATTGGAGGCGTTGGACGAGGGAGATTTGCGGGTTGGTGTCCCATTCGTGAGGTCTGTTACCAAGACGGCATTGCTTGACCGTGGTGTACTCTGGAAGCTGCTGGGTGAAGCGGTTTGTGATCGAGTTATTCGCGGGCTGGTTCTCTTCCTCTTCAGCGTGTTGATCTCCGAAGGTGAGCTCGATAATGACGCTTGTCGCGGTCGATGGCGACTGTTCGGATTGCTTGGTGTCTTGACCGTCGCTGTAGCAAGCTGAGCTCGATTTTGGACGGGGCTCAACGCAGCTACGACTATATGCTCCTCAACCACGTTGTTTGCGGGTCGACGATTCTTTGGAATGAAGAAGTCGGTAATGTTGCGATTGCTGCCATCCTGACTGGCCTTGGGCGCCATCTCACCACAGCGACGATGTCGACCAACGCGGCTGTGATAAGGGAAGTTGTCGAKCCGCGTCGACGCGACTTTCCACACGCGGTGGACCGACCGGTACGGTGGTCTTTTAGCGACTTCCCTGCAACAACCCATAAATAGCTTTTCAGAATGCACTACTACTCTTAGCTTTACCTCGGCGCCGGAGTTAGAGTATTACAGCGTTTCCTACGCTATTATATCGTATTGTACATAAGGTTTCGATATAGCAAGAGTGCTAGGCTATATAATAGTATCGTAAAGATTTGTTCTAGTTACCGTTAGTATATCGATACTCTTATAATTTTATCTAAAGGCGTTGCCTTGTACCTATTGCTTATCTCTTTTCTATTTACCTATATAAAGCGTAGAGAGAAGAAGGCGTAAGCTAAGGTATAGAGATGTCGTAAACTAGTATATATTATATAGTAGTATGTTCCTCTAAGAGCTATAGCTTAATCTACACGATAAAAGGCAAAGGTACGATACAAGTATATCGTAAATCGCAAACGCTAGTATAATTCGAAAGCTATGTTATATACTAACTAAGAGGGAAGTCCGTTAAAGGACCGGATAAAAGTGTTATATAAACTCTAGCTAATAATTCTAGATAGTAACGCTATCTACAGTTAACGTATACCCTACTCTTAACGGCGCTTTAATCGATTACGCGTACGATCCGCTAGTAGCGTACTACTAGGCTCGGAAGTAAGGGAAATCTAAGAACAGCTACGCTTATAACTAACCCCTTAGGGAGGGGGGGGGGGTCCGCGAAGAACCTCCGCCCTACTTAGCTAGGACCGAGAAACGCTATGTATTGTTATTATCTATTATACGGTAGAAAGGGTAGTACTATAGCTACTTACCTCTATACGAGATTACTCTAGTCTCTAAAGGAATAACTCCTTCTTCTAGCGGTCGTCGGTAGGTTCTACCTTAACTACTAGTTCTTCCTTAACTACTAGTTCGGGCTTAACCTATACGTACGTTAGTAGGTGCACTATTATACGGAGGAAAGGGTATATAAACTATAACGTTCGCTAAAAGATAGGCGTCGCTTTCGTCGCTATCGTCCGTAGTTATAGTAATATCGATGTTATCTAGGTTGTCGTCGGAGGCCTATTAGGAATTAGTATAGTAACTAGATGCATATTATATAGGTAATACGTATAGGTTTCTCTACCTTCGGCTTCTCCGATCGGGCTTTCTTCTTTTTCTTCTTATTATTACTAGCGATAGCTTTTTTATAGAGCCTAGCTATAGCCTTAACGAGCTTCTCTTCCGCTACGGCTATATATAATAGGGAATTATCTAYATCGTATTAGCTAGGCCGCTTAAAGACTAAGAACACCCTATACGTCTTCTTCGTTCCTTACGGGAAGATACGAGCGAGCCTCGAGCCTTCGTATTCCTTAAATACTAGTTTAGTAGGCCTATTACGGTTATTATACTACTTAGTTATATACATAAGGGTATTATTAGGGTAATCGATCTCTAACTTTATACCTAGTAAATACTTAAATAGTTACATTATAGCAGCTATATAATCGAACTTCTAATTAGGTACTAAGACAGTTTAAGGTTGCCCTATTAAAGTTAGCGATTATATACTAGTGTCTAGAACGACGAAGTCGCTAGTAACAAACTAACTATATATATACCCTTCTTCTTATTTTAAAACTTCGGTATCCTATCGGGGTCCTTAGGTAATATCGTGTACCTAGCAATAATAATAGTAATAGTTATCCTTACCTATATAAAGGAGCC